AATTTTTATATTTGCCGTTTTTTTTTTGTTTAATAAATACTGCATATTTTCCACAAACAAATAGCTTCTTCATATCCATCATCTGGCAAACAAATACAACAAAAAAAAAGCTGAAAGTGGACCATCCTCCATCCATTCTCGAGTTATGCGCCATCTGACGTACGCAAGTTTGGTATATACATAGAAATATTTATTTTCAATAACAATCGGGGGTTATATTCGATGTAAATAAGCTTGTTTAAATTAAATAATTAAATCAAATTCGCTTTTGTTTTAAAATACCACCATTCACTATTATCCACACCTTTTTATGGAATTTAGCTCCCATTTTAGGAAGTGTGATTGAATTCTTCCCCTTTTTCTCCTGCTTCCATAAACCATCCCTGTGGGTGGGAGTGCCAAATTTTAGAAAAAAGCTACTTACAAAACCTTTAATAATTGAATCATGATCAATGCGTGTTTTTTTCTTCGGAAAAAACTACGTCCAAATTCTATTTTTAATGCGGTCTCATACAATTTTCCGTATCCGGAAACGAAAAGAAAACGGCTTCAATTTTCGGTAATTTACGTATTCAAAAATATTCAAAAAACAGCGCGGTTTTCGTATCCATAAACGAACAGAAAAGGGCTACAATTGTCATTTATTGTCGTATCCGGTAAACGGCAGAAACGTTATTTGAAAGCAATAATTGTCTTTTATTTATTCAAGCTGAACATTTGAATGTATGTATACATATCACAGTGTGATATTTCAACAATCTAGATGGATAAAATTATTTGTGGATATTTTTGGGGTATATTCAGGATGTTGTTTACCAAAATTTTCGGTTGCTGAAATTCGGAAAGCTATATTTTCCATCACCATGTGAAAAATTGATTTATGAAAACGATTCTGGAGGCTACGAAATCGCATAAATAGGAAAAGCAAAGTGCAGTATACATTTGTTTAAGCCTACTGCGTAATGAGTATTTTTTTAAGAACAAGTATTGTAGTTTCGTTGTTTTACAGTCATTTTGTGACATTTCGACAATCTGGATAAAATTATTTCTTTACCTTTTTGGTCATTAGATAGACTAATTATAAATAAAAGGTGTAAAGGGACCTGATATTTAAGGCATAAAGTTTAATTTTAAAATTTTCTAAATTAGGTGAGAATCTATTTATATTTTGACAGTTACGACAAAGTAATAATAAGAATAAGATAAAGAACTTATTTTTTATTATACTTGTTTTGAGCTCTGAGGCAAAAATACCGAATATTTGCTTTCAATGAAAATAACACAGGGTCCAGGCCCGGCCGCAAGGCCAACCCCGCGATTTTTTGATACTTTGACCTCGTTTTTTTTTTATCAGGAGCTGATGGAAACTTTGTGCTTACAGATTCGTAATCAGCAAAAAAAATATATTAAAAACAGTTTTAACATTTGCCGTACCAAAATTATTTTTATATTTTTGTTGGGCTGTGTTATCCATTAAAAAATTTGCAAAAATTCAGATTTCCGTGTTTTCTACAGAAATTTTTCTTTATATGGTCTATAATACCCTTCGCTCCCCAATTTAGTTATAGTTTTGCAAAATAATTCAATGAATATCATCATGCATGTGCAGTAGACAGCGTCTTATTTTGCAACTTTGTCCTACAAAACAAGATTCCCACCAGAAAGGTCATTTGGCCATAAAAACGTGACCTGCGAAAAATTTTTTAAATCGCATTAGGAAAGACGTGCCTCAAAGACCCAAAAATTCAGAAAATTCATGAAATTTTTCGCAAGGCGGTCAATATTTTGCCTATAAGTCAGTGGGAAATTTAATATATTTAAATGGCGCTTTAAGGAAGTTTTGTCCTCCGATGGGACAGTTGTAGAAGTGAATTCAGAAGACACTAGTATTATTTAGGGTTTGAATGGGTCATACATTTATCCGAGTGGAAAAAACTGCATACTCAGAACTTTGAATTGACACTCAAAATCTTGACTTAAGGTTTGCTGCCATCAAACAAACAAATTTTAACCGGTTTATCATAACAGTTGCATTTTTAGGCCACTAGTCCGATGATTTCAGTTCAAATATGTCGTGTATTTACGCCAATTGTCACGTTAAGAGCGACGGACTTGGGCGAGCCTAGGATATTGACCAAAAATTTTCACATTGCACACAGATATTTTTTAGAGCATAATGAACGATATTTTTTGCTATTACCAATCAAATTTCTAAAAAAGCGGATTTTCGGCCCACGCTACTCGACAACCCTCTAAACTCCGAGGAAAGTGGAGAAAATAAGCGTAGGCGTGTTATAAGTCCACTTAAAAAGATAGTCACTGAATCTACACAGAGAAATTTTCCATCTCAGCCCTTAGATCTAATCAATCTTTCTTCTCCATGCCCTCACGCATTAGAGCCTCCGATATCTAAAGCCATATCCACTAGGTCCACGTCTAAAAATAATAACAACAATCAAACTGTTGATCTAACAGTGTTGCCATCGACATCTAAAGCTGCCCTATCTAACATAGATCCTCTGAATAAGTCGGAATCCCGTATATCTGAAGTCACTACCAAAAAGTTGATTGTAATTCCTCCGAGAAGATCAATCTTTGTCTCTATACTTGCTAAAAACACTTCTTCGGATCATATAAAGTCCTACGTATCGAGTAAGGTTAAAACTAAAGATGTATTTATTCGTAATTTTGATTTTAAATACGATCGCCATATTTCATCTTTTAAAATTGATATAGCTGCCGAAGATTTTGATTCACTACTAAATAATTCATTTTGGCAAACCGGGCCGTTTGTTCGCGAGTTTGAGTATAAACTTTATAAAAGTAATAACAACGTAGCTAAAGTTTCTAGTCTTAATTCTGATTCAAAAAACTAACTCGCAAGTCTAATTTAAGTATTAACTATCAAAATGTTCAGAGGTTTGAATACCAAATTAACCGACTTATATTTAAAAGGTTTTGACTGCAATTATAATATTATTTCCTTAACCGAAATCTGGCTCAAACCTCATATTTTTAATTCCGACATTCTTCCAAATGAATATCAAATATACAGGAGCGACCGCGAGGGCAGAATCGACGGTGGTGTTCTTTTTTCGGTGCATTCGTCGATACCATCCGAGGAAGTTAGTGTTCCTGTCATTGAATATACCGAATTTAAATGTATACGTGTACAGGCTGGTAAGAGTTATGTTTATTTAACTTTTTGCTACATTCCTCCTAATTCTGCCATATCAGTATATACACAGCTAGTTTCTTTACTACTTTTCTTTACTATTTTTCGCTGGAGAATACGAAAACACAACTACTAATATGTTAGGTGATAAAAATTAATAAAATATTTACTTAGTTCTCATAAATGCAGAAAAGGTTCTTTTAATGACGTTTCCTAATCAGAACATTTCTTTTGATTTTGAGGCAAATTTCAAATTCATTGGCGCGTATTCATAGTCCAGCCACTAAGTCGAAACTAATAAAGTTGCAACTTAAATTTAAGTACCAACTTAAAATTCACTTCTATTCATAGTCGCATTTCAGACTTCTACTAACTAGTTTTAACTTAGTTTTACGATATTGCAAAACGAGTTTGAAAATGTATCGATTTTTCTTTACGATATTTTGGAAAAATTACATTTTTATTAAATAATGTCAAGTTTGATCATCCGTTTATGTAATTTTTACTTTCATTGCATGTCTATGCAAAAGAATAAGGTATAAGTTTCTTGTTAATTGTGTGAAATAGTCAGAACTACCGAAATGATGTCGAGCCCTAACCGCCAAAATAACGTAAGCGACATTTTTTTTTTTTAAATATTATTTTTGATGCAGAAATATTCCTAGGGCATCTAAATGTATTGTTGCATCAAAAGGAAAATGTTGAAAAAAGTGGCGCTTACGTTATTTTGGCGGTTAGGGCTCGATGTGAAATCGATGTTTATCGTAAGCATGCTATGAAACATACAAACACATATCTAAATGTTATGCCATAATTCGCTTTAAAAGAACAAGTTTGAAATTGACTTATTATTTGAGCATTTATATATGTAAATCATTCCAATTATAAAATTGTGATGTAGGCTTATACGAATTGTAATACGCATTTAATTTCATCTTCTGATTCAAATGGATCGCTGTTTGTAAATTTCAATTTTTCGTCTTTTTCATTAATTTAGTAAAATACTTCATCCTAGTTACGAATTAATTGCATCTGCAGCCGAAACTAAATTTTAAGTTGGTACTTAGCCAGAAAAGTCGAAACTAAGGCGACTATGAATAGCTTTAGTTGTAACTTAGTATAGTTTCGACTTAGTTGTGATCTATATATGACTAAAAATATGCGCCATTCATTTTAGATATGCCAACTAGGGCTGGGGTTCTAGACTGATTTTTTGAATATCCGGATAGGCCGAATGTCTGATAAAAAATACGATTATTCGGATCCTGATATCCGGATTTTTGAATATAAAAATTACAAAATAACTTTGTGTGTTTTTTTTTTAATTTTTCAACTTAATAGATTGAGTAATTTTAAGAACAATTCTAGGAATTCAAACTATTTAGAATATCCGGATAAACAAATGGACGGATATTAAGCGAATATCCGAAAAATATAAACGGATATTAACTGGATATCTGAATTTTATCCGCATACACAACTATCCGTTATTATACCTGGATATCCGAATAAACGGATAGTCCCAGCCCACGGTGAAATTATACCTGGTGAAGTAATAAGGTGTTTTATTGATTTGAAAATCTTCTTAAAAATTTGTCTAAGAAAGCCGAATTACAGGAAATACTTAACCTGTTTATTGTGCCACGGCCTCAGTAAATTTTCCATCTATTCCGATTGTTTTCTTTTTAAAGGTGTTTATTTCATTTCTTTTTAATTAATTTTAATGTATTCGCTTATGTCATTGAATAGGTTTTATATTATTTTATACTATTTATTACTTATTTGCAAATTATGCGAGCAATAAAAATGGTTTTACACTTTGTAGATCGAACTGGGTGCCAACTGGATTCATGGTGTTTTGGGTAATCCGATTTTCGAAATTGCCGTTCAGCATGGTCTAGTCAGTGTGGTTAATGTACCCAAACCGCATACAGTTATTGCCACAACCGAGGATGGACATCAGGTTCCTTTTAACATTCTTCAGGAGATCTACGAGGCATATGTATGCTTTTTGCGTCGTTGTGATGAGTACTTTATGTGTCAATATAGTCCACCTCCGGACATTAATAGTGTGGGAGAGCACATCAACTATGAGATTGAAATATTTTTAAGCTCAGTGAAAGACCCGAAGGAAAAACGCTTGAAACAATTGATTTTCAATTGTTTACTGAAGCGCGAAACGTGTATTACCGGTTGCACTAGCATGAACGAAGTAGATCTCTTGGAATTAGGTAAGTTCTGTGGTATGCGAATATAACTTGCTTATTAATTGCTTTTTGTTCATTTTGTACCCAATAGGAAGTTATACAGAATTGCAAGGTGGAAATATTGTACCGCCCCAAGGCTATAGTTCGATTTTGCGGCCACTTTCTGAGCCTATACCTAAAGAGGCAATAATCAGCAAATGGCCGGTAAAGAAAATACATTGGAAGCGGAAAAAGACGATTACTGGCCTGGAAACGGTCGACGAGAATTCGGAAGACGAAGACGATTCAGATGACACTGAAAAGACAGTTACTGAAGTGCCCACTGTCCGTGCAGTAACAGCGGCAGCAGCAGCAACAAAAACAACTACTAGTGCTCCAGTACGTGAAAAATCTACTGATTCTGATGACAACTGTGATTCGAGTGGCAATGTTATTGATGCTGCTGTACGAGTAGACTGTGAAGATGGGCGATGCTTCTACGCTGATCATGTGATATGTACCATACCGCTGGGTGTACTTAAATCAACATATAAAACCTTGTTTTCGCCTGAGTTACCGCATTACAAGCAAGAAGCAATTGAAAATTTAATGTTTGGAACAGTCGATAAAATATTCCTGGAATATGATCGACCGTTTATGAATTCCTCCATTTCCGAAATAATGCTGTTATGGGATGATGACAAATATGATTTGCATCTGTCGGATGAAGAACGCAGTTCAACCGAGTATTTGAGCAAAAATTGGTACAAGAAGATTTATTCCTTCGCTAAAGTATCTGAAACCCTACTTTTGGGTTGGGTTTCGGGCAGAGAGGCTGAATACATGGAAACGCTGACGCATGAAGAAGTCGCAGAAACATGCACGGAGATATTGCGGACATTTTTAAAGGATCCGTATGTACCGAAACCAAAGCTCTGCGTGTGGTATGGATGAACCCAATATTTGTTATGCAATATGCTCTTCATATTTATACGTCTTTCTATAGCACAAGCTGGAAGTCTCAACCATTCACGCGTGGCTCGTACACTTCAATTCCTATTGGTGCAACGCAGGAAGATATCGAGTTATTAGCGCAACCACTTTACGTGAATCCACAAGCACAGAAAGTAAGACAAATTTTCGGAGACTTTACTTTACTAATCAGGTTAGCCACTACAACCAGGGCTGCGAACCGCTCCAAAAATCGAGGCGGTTGTCCCGACCACTTAGAAAAACTTGAACCGGTACAAGAACCCGCTCATGAGTATCTCTGAACCGCGGTTTGGTTGTTGTTGTTGTTGTTGTTGTTGTAGCGGCTACAACAACCCCGCCCAGGACGGTTGGTATCTCAGTCGTTGTCCTCAAGTTCCACTAACGGCAACCCTAGGAAGCGTGCAGCTTCTGTGGGGTTTGTCCACAGGGACAAGGCCGTTTGGGTTGTCGGGTTTTCCGGGCATGCGAAGAGATGTTTCGAGTCATGTGGGCTCTCTCCGCATGCCGGACACTCATTCGGCACATCCTCATTCAACCTACTCAGGTAGGAGTTCAACCTGCTGCAGTAACCGGAGCGAAGTTGTGCAAGTGTTGTGCGTGTCTCCCGAGGCAGATGAAGCTCCGTCTCGTCTATGTCCGGGGGTGGTATGCCTAGAACGGCATTCACAGGTCTAGAGTCTATATAACTCGAGACTGAGTCCCTGTGAATGCCGTTCAGGGCCTGTCTGTACGCTGTCGGGTCCAGAGGTTGCTTAATGAACCTCTGGACTTCGTCCGTCTGTTCATATAGATGCCTCCTGACGTGCCTAGGCGAGGGCTCCTCTGCAAGCAGCTGTCTGCTTAGGTGGCCACTTCTGTGGCTCCCGATCAGGAACTGCTTACAGAGCATTATATTGTGCTCCTTTACAGGGAGCATTTGCGCCTCGCCGTGCAGGTGGTGTTCAGGCGACATCAGGAGGCATCCTGTCGCTGTCCTGAGTGCGGTGTTCTGTACAGTCTGTAGCTTCGTCCACTGCGTCCTACTAGTCCCTGGCGACCACACTGGCGCTGCGTAGTTCAAAACCGGCCGGCCTATTGCCTTGTATGTGGCCAGCAACGTTTCTTTGTCTTTGCCCCAAGTACTGCCGGCTAGCGACTTGAGATTCCCGTTTACTTTCGAACACAGGTCATCAATTCCATTCCCAGTCGCCATGATCGAGCAATCGTCGGCATAAGAGACAATCGAGACTCCCTCTGGTGGTTGAGGGAGCTTTGAAATGTAAAAGTTAAACAGTAGCGGGGAAAGGACACCACCCTGAGGAACCCCCTGTTTTATTTTTCGCTGCTTACTCGTTTTGTCTCTAAACATTACCGACGAATGTCGACCACTCAGATAATTTGCCGACCACCGTTTGAGCCTCTGTGGGAGAGAGGAGGCCTCTATGTCTTCTAGTAGCGTGGAATGGCAGACGGTGTCAAACGCCTTTGACAAGTCCAACGCTACTAGAATCGTTCTCTCACAGGGACGGTTTCGGTTAAGGCCACGAGTTATCTGAGTGTTTATGGCGTTAAGTGCTGTTGTTGTACTGTGCACTTTACGGAAACCATGCTGATGCTTCGCTGGGGTCAGGTGGTTTGTGAAGTACGGGAGTAGCAAGGCCTCGAGTGTCTTCGCTACCGGGGAAAGGAGTGTTATCGGACGTAGGAATCTCCTTTGTTGGCAGGTTTCCCCGGTTTGAGCAGTGGGACCACTCTCCCCACCTTCCAGATGTCTGGGATGATGAGAGTGGCCATTGACAAGTTTAGGACCTCCGTTAGGTACGCTACCCCCGCAGGACCCAAATTTTTCAGCATCAGCATGCATATTCCGTCGGGACCCATGGCTTTGGAGGCTTTCGCCTTCCCGATGGCCACCTGAACTTCACCGCAAGTGAAAGCAAGGGGGGCACAAGTTGTTGGCAGTTTGTGCAGCCTTCTGGTCACTCGACGCTTGGCTTTGTCCACCGGAGGATGCAGTATGAACTGCCGGCTAAAATAGCTCGCGCATCGCTCCGGGTCCGACGAGGCATGGTCGCCGAAGGAAATTTCGACTCTGTCGTCGTGCTTCGTCGGATTAGACAATGACCTCACGGTTGACCAAAGCTTGCTCACATCAGAGGTAAAATTACAGGTCTTCAGATGCTCCTCCCACTTCTTCCGCTTATGTACGTTTACTAGTTGCCGAATCTCCGCGTTGAGATCCCTGATACGGGGATCTCTGGGATCGGCCTGACGAAGGCTATCACGCTCATCGGCTAGAACAGCCGCTTCGGCAGGGAAGTTTGGACGTGGGTCCGATATACATCCTGCCGGTATGAAGCGAGTTGCAGCAGCAGTGACAGCCCTGCGGAACTTACGTTCACCGAGATGGACGTCGGTTGGTGTGGGGAGCGCTGTGAAGGTGTTTTCGGTAAACTCCGCGTAACCTTTCCAATCAGCTTTAGAAAAGTTGATATAGGTCCGGTGTTTGGCGGAGGCAAAGTCGGTTGGTTTATCTATCGAGATGACTATGGGTAGGTGGTCTGATGCTAGAGTCAGCATAGGTCGCCATGTTATGCTGTTTATCAGACCAGCGCTAATTATTGTGATGTCTGGCGAGCTACTGCAGTTACCCATAATCCTGGTGGGTGCGTCGTCGTTCATTGTGCAGAATGTCGAATCGTCTATCTGCTCAGCCAAGTCTGTTCCCCTACGATCGTTTGACAGGCTTGAGTGCCAAAGATCGTGGTGCGCATTAAAGTCACCTACTACCATACGGTTTTCACCTCTGAGGAGCGCACCTATATCAGGGTGATATCCTGCCGGGCAGCAGGTGACAGGGGGTATGTATATGTTAAATATTTCGAGCTCGACATCGCCTGACCGGATAGCGATGCCCTGACATTCTAGGGTGGTATCCCTGCGGTCGATGTCTGCTTCGATAAGACGATACTGCACGGTGTGGTGCGTGATGAACGCTAAGCCACCACCATTATCTCGCTCCCGATCTCGACGGTGCACGTTGTACCCGGCGCAATTCAACAAAGATGAATTGCTGTGCAACTTCGTCTCTTGGACCGCAGCTATCAATATACCATGCCGACACATGAAGACGGTCATCTCCTCAATCTTGCTCTGTAGCCCGTTGCAGTTAAATTGAAGGAGCTTCATGTGGTTCGGGAGACGTGTCGTGATGTGGGGTGTAAGTGAAGTGTATGTTCTTGCCGCCGTTGGCTGTGTGTGCTGCTGTGGTGATTGCCGCCCTGTGGTGGTGGCGGGGGGCGTCGCAATCGGGGTCTGCGACCGAGCAGCGCAACACGGGCCCTCCAAGTTCCCAGTCAAATCTCGCGTGGTACGCAGACCTGAGCATGCCCTAAAGTGGCACCAGCCAAGGCAGGTGTTGCACTTGACTGATGTCACATTACGGAATATCCTGGTCTGACATACCGTGCAGATTGTAGGGGGAACCAGGAGTTGTTGGCGGCGGCGTGTGGGTGGTGGTGCGATTGTGTGTTATGTGGTTTGTAGTGGCTGTGGTACGGTCTGTGGTGTTATTATGTTGTTGTGTTGTGGTGACTGTGTGGGGCTGCTCGGGCGGACGGTGGTAAGCCGTGGAGGCTGCTCTGTTTGAACAACAGGGGGCCACGTACGACGTGGTAGACAGTGGTCTATGTGTCCGTAGTACCGAGCAGACTCTGAGGTGACTCCACCCCTCGCAGGCATTACACTTGACTGAGGTGGAGTTGTGGTGTAATCGTCTCCGGCATACACAGCAGGTGTAGGTTTCTGGCCCTGGGTTTGACTCGATGCCAGTCCTGAGTAGGAGAATACGTAGTGAATGTATCCCTATGGTCGGGTAAAACCCGAGTCATTCCGGTACGTAGAACCGGCTGTCGTGGGAATGACATGTCGGTTTGGTTCGACTCAAGTGGTTAAATTTTTTTATACTAAGTGATACAAAAAATACCACAATATTAAAAATATATATATATGTATATTTATATATATGTATATTTATATATATGTATAATAGCTCAATCAGCCACCGACAGAGCGCCCTTCCGTACCTGCCGTCAGGCCCGTCGAGAGGGAGGGGGAAAAGGGGTGAATCCCCCCCGAGCCCGGGCTTCTTAAAGGGGCCCGAAATATCAGAACCACAACTTGTTATCATTTTTATTTACAATGTAATTGCTACTTCGTTATAGGCCTTCATTATAAACATATTACCAATCGTGCTGATTCTTTCCGACTCTATAAATTAAAGAAAATGAACATATGACCCAAAAGGGGGACTGGTACTGTTGGTTTTCAAAACCCGCTGAAACTCGCTAGAATACAACTTTCGGATAGTTTTTCTTCTTTCAACAGCTGCTTTATATTATCGAAAAAGTCTGCTCTCCTTATATAATGTTTTCAAAAGTTGGTACACAGTTTCTTAGCTTAAGGATGGAACTCAAGAGATACGTATTTATTGAACTGATAAAATTAATTTTGAGGTCAATATTCGCAAAAAATAGCTTGTAGTCTGTTTTATGCAATAAGTAGCATGAATAAAGCAGACTTGCGATTTGACATGTAATCCAAAGAAATTAAGAACATAATAATTATGAACATAGACTTCTATTGCTGTGCAGCTTTAAGTCGTTTCAGAAGTAATTTTCTGCTTAGAACTCGAACTGGAGCTTACAACTGTGCGAAGATATAGAGGTTTTCCGGGGTTAAGAACACGACAAAAGGCTTGAATGGCCACTTTTTTTTGCTCTATGACATTTAGTACTATTCTTAACCTTCAAAATGCGCCTTAGAGGGTTGCTTTACGAGTTTTCCTTCAGAAACTATGGCCATTGGAAGAAAGCATATGCTTAGTTTGGCGATGTTAGATTCGAGGACAAGACGGTTAAAGTGGACGTAACTCTTGAAGGAAAAATTTGCGATGGAAAGACCAGGTGGAGAAGGACTTGGATTCACTTGGCATTTCCAATTGGCGTCAGTTTGCACAGAAGAGAAACGACTGGCCCGCTTTGTTAAACTCGGCCAAAGTCGCGTAGGGGGTTACAGCGCCAAATAAGAGGAAGAAGTAAAGGATTTGAGTTAAAAAGAATATAAATTTTAACTATGAGTCAATAACACGTTCAAT